ATGAAGATTTGGGAATCAATATTCCATTCTGAGGTTAAAATAAAAGTGAAATGTTGAAGAGAAGAAAAAAAAGTATTCCCACAAACTTACTATGTGGAAAAATATGCAGTATAACAATACTTTAAAAATTTCACTTCTGAAAATTTAACAAGTTGCCATAAAAATAACTTTCAAGAAAATATTGCAAGAAACAAAATTTGAAGTATGGGTACAATGGGGCACACACACATACACACACATCCAGATAAGTGAAAAGTAAACAAAGTATTTCTTAAACACATAATCTTATGAACCTATTGCAAATTTATCATGCCAAAAGTAATTTTAGTGTGCAGATTTTTCTAAACAATAAAATGTTGAAATTGATTTTTCTTCCTAACACAGACACCTAGAAGCTAGGCCTATTTAAAATGCATCTGAGAAAAAAGCAGTGGATATACCACAGGGTCACCTTCTACCAAAACACAGAGTTGACCAATAAAGTTAAGGGAAAACAGGAAGACTCAGAAACAAGTGCTTAGTTGTCAAAATCTAAGATGAAAGACAGTAGGAAAATTCTTGAGAGTGTATGTTCAAGTTATCCCATAAGAAACATTTTCCTAGGTGCAATACTGCCTTCTGATTTTTCCCAAGAATGAAAGTTGGAGGAACACCCTCAACTATCAAAGTCTGATCACATTACTTGAAAATCATCTTGATATAAAATTCACGAAGTCCACCCAAAGTGGACAACACATTTCAAGCTTCAGGCAAAAGATCTATCAAATAGTGTCTAGACCTAGCCTAATACAGATAAAGAAAATAAAACAAAAATGTTTCATCCACTTATTCCTCAAACCAAGATTCTTTTTATAAAGATAAATGGCAACTATGAGGTATATAAAATAATAGAAAACAAAATACAGAAAAATAGCTTAGTCAATAAATGATACATGATATATATATATGGATCACCCAAATTTATTGACTCTACAATGAAAAGAAAATGGTTAAATATTATAGGAATATGAATAATTTGAATCATAGACTGCCAATGTGAACACTTTGAAAAAAAATAATTTCTAATATAGCATGCCAATTTTGGTATTTTTAAAAATAATTACATTTCTTATTCAAATCTTTATGTAAAAAAGCTTCATGCTGTCTCTAAGAAAAGAAAAAATTTTAAATCTATTGAACATGACATGATGATTATGATGCTGCTGAGTTGGGTGAGTGAAAAATCTAACACAGATTTATGAAAAGTACATTTATGCACGATTTGCAATCACAGTAAAGTCCATTGTCCCATATTTCTAAATTCTGTCTATTACATTTGGAAAAAGTAATATTTACCACTGGTCATCTCTCTAATTGCTTTAGGACAAACATAGAAAGAGGATTCCTCAGAATTCAATACATAGCAATTCCTTCCTGTAAATCACAAATGGAATTCTAGAGCCCAAAGTCCAGTATCATCCACATTTTAAATCTAATCACACAGATGAAGTTCCAACACTAGCCAGAA